AGGTATACTAGTAATCCTAACAATGAACATTGGGATGCTCTTATTCGAGTCTTGAGGTATTTGAGATACACTCTAGACTGGGGAATACATTATACCAAATTCCCTGCTATACTTGAGGGATATTGTGATGCTAATTTGATTTCCGATACCAATGAAAGTAAATCTACAAGTGGATATGTATTTACATTAGCAGGCGGAGCTGTCTCCTGGAAATCCACTAAGCAAACCTGCATTGCTAGATCTACTATGGAATCTGAGTTCATAGCTTTAGATAAGGCAGGTGAGGAGGCTGAATGGTTAAGGAATTTTCTTATGGATGTTCCTTTGTGGTCTAAACCATTTCCAACTATTTCAATACATTGTGACAGTCAAGCAGCTATCTCAAGAGCTCAAAATTCATCCGACAATGGAAAGTCTAGACATATTCGTAGGAGGCACAATACTGTGCGTCAGCAGCTTAAGGATGGGATTATGGCTATTGACTATGTGAAGTCAAGTGATAACATTGCTGACCCATTAACCAAAGGATTGGCTAGAGAGCTAATTCAACAAACATCGAGGGGGATGGGGCTAAAGCCTATTATGTATTAGATCACCTATAATGGAAACCCAACCTTGCAATTGGAGATCCCATGGTCAAGGTTCAATGGGACAACAAAGTTATTGGAGTGGTCTGTGGGGGTACTACATTGGATTTATTCCAAACCCCTCCCTATGATGCGTAGTACCAACTGTATTGATTAGAGGATGAGCTAATGCTCTTAATGCTTACTATAGCTGATATTCAGTGGGGTGTTTAAATACAGTGCACCCTTAATAGTAGCACCTATTTGAGTGTGGAAGTGGGGCCGCTTCCTATGAGAATTGAGACGAATTCTCTAGAGCACTCAAAGAAACTGGGAAAGTTCACGGCTGAAATGAACACAACCGTGAGAACTCAATGACTGTTCTAGAAATCATGTGTGTGTTCTATTGTCTCAGTTTGCAACTATAATTGTAGAGTTCAAAACATAGTTCACTCTACAGTTAGTAAGCTCGATAGAATATACAAAGCCAAGGTTCAAGTCGATAGACACCTAAGCCTGCATGATTTCTACCGTACTCCAGAGTAATATTTTCATTTATCTTATTTCTTTCATGTGAGGGACTGTTATATATTTATGGTATAAATATAAAATGTGAAAGAAATAATCAAATTAGATAAAGTGCCAAAGTGGTGGGAGATGTGACATTTGTGTGGGACGTCAGGGGTTCGAATCACTCCCCACGCAAATATTAAAATGTCTTGATTGGGGCCTTGGGCTCTTGGGCTTCTTTGACTAAAATAAATATTTTTTTCTTCATTATTTAATGGGTAAAACTAGTCAGTATTTTATGACTGTTTGTTTTTGTAACAACCCACTAACTGCCATTAAAACACCCACTACTCAGTCATTAAAATTTTGCATTAACATAGTGAAGATTGTTACTACCATCTTGCCTATATAAACCTATATCTCGCTTTTGGAAAAGACACACAAAAAGAAAATAGAATCAATCACTCTTTTCATATTGTGAATTTCTTATATTCGGGTTTTTATACCTATTCTGGAGTACAATTGAGAGTTCTAGAAAAACTATTCGTGATTGCTGCATAAGTGGTTTACGATCGTTGTATCCTGGGAGTGATTATCCACGGAGGTCACAGCAATTATTGACGGGCAATTTCACTTTAGGATATCGTGCTGTCACGAGACTCGATCGGACGATAAGTTTTATATTTCTGCATTATATTGGTCTGATCACTGCTGCAACTAATTATTTTTCTAACAGTTAATGATTTAATTTCAATCTAAGATTCTCATCTTTTACCTCAGTTTTTTCCAATCCAAAATTGTTGTTTGTTGACGATTACTATGCCCAACAGCGATTTTCTCGACAATATCTATCTTGAATTTTGATGTGGAACGGTCGCTCCTGTAGTGTAATCGGTGAAATACGCAGGACCAAAATCCAGTGGAGACAAATGCCACCTCTAGACCACAGGTGGCTTCTAACATCACCCCCATTTTCATATATACTTATTTGCTCTTAATTACTTATTCTGATTTTATTTATTAATCTCGTTGTCGGATTGTTTCCCTGTTATTATTTCCTCCTTTATTATTTTATCTATGTTCATGTGTTAGTAAGACTATAGTTTGGGAAATTGTTCATTATGGTTTTCTCTAGATGGTTTATTATATGTAGTGCTTAAATTTATTTATTTATATTTTTTTGAATTTATTATTGGTTTGACTATCATATCCTTAACTTTTTTTTCTTCTCGCGTTGCGTTTATATACATGTATGTTTTATCCATGTACATATGTAGATAGATATGTTTTATTCTGTATGAGAGTGACCAACAGCAAAAACTTGCCCTTGTTTATGAGTTCTACTTAGCCGCTGTTTGACATCCATTAAAGTGAGTTTTTTTTTGGGGGAAAATATGGAGAATGTGTAGCTAAGAAGTAGAGAAAAATTTGGATCCACGTGCAAAATATTTTATTGCGTGAATGTTCGATTGAAAATGAGTTTGAGAAAAAAGAGTTTTGATTGAATGGACGTCAAACAAGGGCTTAATTCAGTACCTTTTTCACGTGAGTTCAAGACCATGGTTTTAAGCACTGTTTTGCTTTAGTGGAGAGCTTGCCTTAATTTAGCTGTTCTTTTAGGCCATTGAAATTGTTGGAACCTTGGGATTGTTTCCTGCAGTTAATATTTGCTGATTCTGGAAATAATTGCTGGTTGCATTTATTTTTCCTTATTTTCCCCTGTTATTTGTAATGTAAATGGATTCTTGCGGTTAATTAGAAGTAATTTATTTGGCTAAATAGATAGATGTCAAGTTTTTTATCCCTTTCTATTGTAACTAGTCTGTGCAGGAACTTCTGATTGAAAAGACTACATCTTCCCTGAAAGAATACCTAAAGAAATATACGAGTAATAACGAAGAAGAGAAGAAAAAGAAGAAGAAGAAGAAGAAGAAGAAGAGAAAGCCTAAATACAGTGCCGGGGGTGTTCTTATTGTTGATGAAGATCCTGTTTGGCAGAAGCCAGTCGACCTGGAAAATGAAGAAGATTCAACTGGTAACTTAAAAAGTGTAAATTTTCATTATTCTGCACTTTTGAATCACAGCTCAATTTGTTAATTAACTTAAGGCCTTTAGATGAAGAGAAGCCACAAGTTGATGAGGATATTGAAGTCAAACATATGAAAAGACTGGAGCAACTTAAAATGAGACGACCTTTTGGTAGCATTTCTGAGGATGGAAGTGATTGGGTTTCCGTAACTGATAATCGTAAACACGTGAATTATGATCAAAATTTTGAAAGTTCTCCAGCTTGCAAAAGAAGGGCTCACTATGATACTTCACCAAAACTCGACCTAAAGGAATCCGGTGCAGCAGATACTAATTTATCTCCACCAAGGGATCATCGCAAAAGTTACCAGCTGGATGACCAAAGTTCTGATATTTCCCCACCTCGCAAAAGGAGGGCTCGTTATGACAGTTCTTCACCAAAACCTGAACAAAAGCCTTCCACTGCTGTAGATGTCGATTTATCTCCACCACGACAGCACCACAAGCGATATCATAGTCCTTCTCCTCAGCATCAAACAAAAATACAATCTTCTGGTGGCCGGCGAGCTCGCTATGATACACCTTCACCAGAACACCATTTCGAAGCTTCAGAGTCAAAAGGAGATATTACTGATTTGTCCCCACCACGGAGGCAACAGACTGGTAAGCTCACTCCATCTCCTGAACTAGAAAAAAATATTTGCACATTCCGGGCCGTTGGACTCACTTAATGGGATAACATTTCGCCTCCGAGAAAGGCGAAGAAGGATAAATCCATTTCCACTGATGTCTCTGCTAGGAAATCGAGACGCAGCTTTGAGGATGATGCCTCAGATTTTGCATATCAAATTTCAGACCTTTCTCCTCCAAGGAAGAGGTGGAATGGTTCTCCGTTTTTGACACAGGAACCAAAGACTGGTTTAGTTAGTGGGCTAGATATCAAAGAAGAAATTACGAAAAAGAAGGAGATTGACTGGTTGAGGTAGTATTTAAAAGGGGGATTTGATAAAAAAGCCTAGTCAAACAATGATTTTGATAAAATAACCTTCCTTCAATGTTTCTTGGTCAAATGGCCTTCATTTATAAAATACAATAAACAAATAATGTCAAATATCTAAAATACCCTCATCATGGAAAATACCCAAATACCCCTTTCAATCCAATTAAATCCCTCAATTCATCTACAAAATGCATTAACCTGTTTTCCCTGTGATTTCTTCCCTAAAATCTTGATATTCATTGTATTTTTCTTCTATCTTCTCCAACAGTGTGAGCATTTGAACAAGAATTTTATTATCTATATTATCTACATTGAGATTTCCACTATATTTAAAGAAAAAAGAAAGGTATTTTTAGAAATCTCATTTACATTGGTACTTTTATTGTTTAATATAGTATAAAATGATATTTTAATTGATTTCATTTTCTCATTTGGTGTATATTTGTATCGTCCGCAACTATTGGACGATAACGATTGGAAACGACAGTCCAGTCGTTATCTGTAGTGTAGAACGACACTACAGTCGTTATCCTCCATGTAAAGTAACGGTACAACCATTATCTGTTATGATCTGTCTCTTATTGATAATATATTGTGGTTACTTTGATAATTTAAATATTGTAACTATTTTCATATTATTTTAATATATACTTGAATCGATGAAGTCATAATGATAGTTATTTATTTTTTGTTATAACAAAATATCACGGTACCATTTCGAGTATTTTACCTAAAAAATATAGAAATGATGTTTAGTTATTAAATATCATTGATCTACTAACAATTTATTTTTAAATATACAAGTTATCAATTATTCGTATCGTGTTTACATAAGTAACGACACTTGTGCTGTTTTCATAACAGTAACATCACTAGTGTTGTTCTCATTTTTCATGTTGTCCAAGCAATGAGAGTATCTTTCAAATTATGTGAGCGGCATGTCCATTTCGCAAATTACATGAGTTCAAATTATAGAATATCGAGATCTGGAAGGCGTGTGACTGCTCATACTCGTGTTTATCGACAGAACGACACAAGTGACGTTTAATGGCATCTATATTGTTCTGTTGGTTTCTCCTATATTTCGCTTTATTTTTACCGCGTCGACCTTAAGGATCAGGCCTCCAAACTTAAGAAAGTCAAAATTATTAATTATGTAACAAATAACAGAAGAATTGGCATAGATTGTAGATATCGCATTGGTGAAATCACAAGTCACTATCCACATTCATTAGAAAACTAAAGTAATGAGGGTATCTCCCAAATTATGTGAGCAACATGTACATCTCGCCACTCGTATGAGTTCAACTTCTCGAATATAGGGGTCCGAAAGGCTCGTGGCTACTCAAACTCGTGTTTATTGACAGAATGACACAAGTGCCGTTTAACGACACTTGTGTCGTTCTGTCGATTTATCTCATTTTTCCCTTCATTTCATCCGCACATCGACCTCAAAGATTGGACCTCCTAACTTAAGAAAGTCAGAATTATTAATTACGTGACGGATAACGGAGGAATTGGCATGGATTTCACTGAAATCACAAGTCACCATCCACATTCGTTATAAAACCAAAGTAATGAGGGTATCTCCCAAATTATGTGAGCGACATGTCGATCTCGCGACTCAAATAAGTTCAAGTTCGCGAATACAGGGGCCCGAAAGGCTCGTGACTGCTCAAACTCGTGTTTATTAACAGAACGACACAAGTGCCGTTTAACAGCACTTGTGTCGTTCTGTTGATTTCTCCCATTTTTCGCTTCATTTCCTCCTCGTCGACTTCAAAGATTGGACCTCCTAACTTAAGAAAGTCAGAATTATTAATTACGTGACGGATAACGGAGGAATTGGCATGGATTTCACTGAAATCACAAGTCACCATCCACATTCGTTATAAAACCAAAGTAATGAGGGTATCTCCCAAATTATGTGAGCTACATGTCCATCTCGCGATTCAAATGAGTTCAACTTCTCGAATACAGGGGTCCGGAAGGCTTGTGACAGCTCAAACTCGTGTTTATTGACAAAACGACACAAGTGCCGTTTAACAGCACTTATGTCGTTCTATTGATTTATCTCATTTTTCACTTCATTTCCTCTGTGTCGACCTCAAAGATCGGATCTCCTAACTTAAAAAAGTCAGAATTATTGATTACGTATCGGATAATGGGGAATTGGAATGGTTTTCGGTGAAATCACAAGTTACCATCCACATTCGTTAGCAAACCAAAGTATTGAGGGTATCTCTCAAATTATGTGATCGACATGTCTACCTAGCGACTCAAATGAGTTCAACTTGTCGAATACAAGGGCCTGGAATGCTCGTGGCTGCTCAAACTCGTGTTTATTAACAGAACGACACAAGTGTCGTTTAACAACGCTTGTGTCGTTATGTTGATTTCTACCATTTTTCGATTCCTTTCCTCCGCGTCGACCTCAAAGATCGGACCTCCTAACTTAAGAAAGTCAGAATTATTGATTACGTATCGGATAATGGGGAATTGGCATGGATTTCGGTGAAATCACAAGTCACCATCTACATTCGTTAGAAAACCAAAGTAATGAGGGTATCTCTCAAATTATGTGATCGACATGTCCATCTCGCGACTCAAATGAGTTCAACTTGTCGAATACAAGGGCCCGAAAGGCTCATGACAGCTCAAACTTGTGTTTATTGACAGAACGACACAAGTGCCGTTTAACAGCACTTGTGTCGTTCTGTTGATTTATCCCATTTTTCACTTCATTTCCTCTGCGTCGACCTCAAAGATCGGACCTCCTAACTTAAGAAAGTCAGAATTATTGATTACGTATCGGATAATGGGGAATTGGCATGGATTTCGGTGAAATCACAAGTTACCATCCACATTCGTTAGCAAACCAAAGTAATGAGGGTATCTCTCAAATTATGTGATCGACATGTCTACCTAGCGACTCAAATGAGTTCAACTTGTTGAATACAACGGCCTGGAAGGCTCGTGGCTGCTCAAACTCGTGTTTATTAACAGAACGACACAAGTGTCGTTTAACAACACTTGTGTCGTTCTGTTGATTTCTACCATTTTTCGCTTCCTTTCCTTCACGTCGACCTCAAAGATCGGACCTTCTAACTTAAGAAAGTCAGAATTATTGATTATGTATCGGATAATGGGGAATTGGCATGGATTTCGGTGAAATCACAAGTCACCATCTACATTTGTTAGAAAACCAAAGTAATGAGGGTATCTCTCAAATTATGTGATTGACATATCTACCTAGCGACTCAAATGAGTTCAACTTGTCGAATACAACGGCCTGGAAGGCTCGTGGCTGCTCAAACTCGTGTTTATTGACAGAACGACACAAGTGTCGTTTAACAACACTTGTGTCGTTCTGTTGATTTCTACCATTTTTCGATTCCTTTCCTCCGCGTCGACCTCAAAGATCGGACCTCCTAACTTAAGAAAGTCAGAATTATTGATTACGTATCGGATAATGGGGAATTGGCATGGATTTCGGTGAAATCACAAGTCACCATCCACATTCGTTAGAAAACCAAAGTAATGAGGGTATCTCTCAAATTATGTGATCGACATGTCTACCTAGTGACTCAAACGAGTTCAACTTGTCGAATACAAGGGCCTGGAAGGCTCGTGACTGCTCAAACTCGTGTTTATTGACAGAACGACACAAGTGTCGTTTAACAACACTTGTGTCGTTCTGTTGATTTCTCCCATTTTTTGCTTTATTTCCTACGTGTCAACCTCAAAGATTGGACATCCTAACTTAAGAAAGTCAGAATTATTGATTACGTGACGGATAACGGGAGAATTGGTATGGATTTCAGTGAAATCACAAGTCACCATCCACATTCGTTAGAAAATCAAAGTTATGAAGGTATCTCCCAAATTATGTGAGCGACATGTCCATCTCGGGACTCCAATGAATTCAACTTCTCGAATATAGGGGGCTCGAAAATCTCGTGGCTGTTGAAACTTGTGTTTATTGACAGAACGACACTTATGTCGTTCTGTTGATTTATCCCATTTTTCGCTTCATTTCCTCCGCGTCGACCTCAAAGATCGAACCTTCTATTGAAAAATATTTATTTTATGCTTATATTGAAAAAATAAAAATCTGAATTGTTTTTTGAAATTTGGTTTGGTAAGTGAATATACGGTGTTCTGCACTCTCGGTATTTGTAAGTGCAAAAATCGTTATATAAAAATACACTGCAAATACGGTAGGCAGCATATACGGTAAGTTGCAAATACCGTAGGCAACATATATGGTAAGGTGAAAATATGGTAAGTTGTTTGCAAATACGGTAAGCTGTAAATACGGTAGGCAGGGTTTACGATAAGATGAAAATACGGTAATGTAAAAATACGGTAAGTTGTTTGCAAATACGGTAGGCTGCAAATACTGTAAGTTGTTTGCAAATACGGTAGACTGTAAATACGGTAAGTTGTTTACAAATACGGTATGCTACAAATACGGTAGGCAACATATACGGTAAACTGCATATATGGATTTATAATTTGTTATAAATGTATAAAATTTAAAAATATAATCTTCACATTCAATTCAATCATATCAACACTATCAAAGAATACAAACAAAATAGTTTGTATATTTCTTATTCAAACATGATTTTTCTAGATAACATACTGCTATACAATTGTAAAAATAATTTATAATTATTTTCTTATATTATGAAAATATTTTTAGATATTGCTTCTAAAACTTTTCAAAAAAATCAAAATTCATACACTAATAAAAATATAATAAATACAAAATTCGTGCAGCGCACGTGATAGCGACTAGTTTAAACATAACGACAGTTACACCGTTTTAATATTTTATCTCAATCCAGTAACGGCACAAGAGTCGTTTTATAAGCGGTAACGACACTTGTGCCGTTCTTATGAACATGTTTTTGTTTTTATAACGCTACTTGTGTCGTTCTCCCTATCTTGAGTTATATGAACATTATCGTCGCTTGTGTCATACTTGTTATTAAGTTTGTCACTATAACGGCAGTTGTGTCGTTCTCTATATCTTTTCAAGATCAGTAACGACACAAGTGTCGTTCTCAATGACCTTTTCATCCTCTAAACAACACTTGTGTCATTCTCTTAGAACTTTTCATCTTAGTAACGACACAAGTATCGTTCTCAATGACCTTTCATCTTCAAGCACTAATATGTGCTTTCCCCACTCCGAGTATAAGAGTTATCACTTCTAAAATCACGACCACCAAAATGCCCACACCACGTCTACTTTTACCTCTATATGGAGCTCGACTTGTAAACCAAATCAGCCAATGGGTACCTCTTGATTGGCTTATCAAATCAGCTGGTGGCTTTGTTGATACGTGAGCAATGTAGGGAATATCAAGGCCATGACCTGCCATATCTGTCACAACCAAAATTAGTGTGTTTCCACTTTTAAACGATTTCAATGCTAGTTCTCTTTCTTGGAACAACAGGTAAATCAAAGTCAAATCAAGTAATAATCAATGTAGGCGTAATGATACAACGTTTACGCAACTAAAGAATAAAATGATTCAATAAAGTCAAGGGGAAACACAACCTTTTAAATTGCAAACTTATATACATTATTTAGTAGGTGAATTTCCAATCTACAAATAAGGGTACTGTGGTAAAAATAGGCAAAATATAATATGAAAAAATTCTGAAATCAACAAGTGTAAAGTTTAATAATAGAACTCACATAAAATAGGAATTACAGTAAAACATAATATAAAGAATTTTCCTAAAAATACCGAATTATTTAAATCAAATTATTCTTAATGCAACTCTCTAAGTTTCAAGGCATATCAAAGAACAAGCACATTTACATATCACAATTTCGATTTATAGCAATGCCAGTAAATGAATTTTTTTTTAACCCATCATCTTCAAAACCCCCAAATGTATCAAAAATCCATTCACATTAAAAAAAACTCAGCTAAAACTAAACTAAATATACAAATAAATCGCGAAATCATAAAAAAAATGCAATTTTTACAAATTTTTATTATAAAACTATAGTAATGGAAGCACAAAATCACATTTTAAAATAACAAAAAAGAAAAAAAAATCGTAGAAAAAATTACCTTTTTTGTTGTCTTAACTTGTACCAAAGAGAGAGTAAAGTAATGTGAAATAAACTAGAGTCAAAGAAATTTTTTTTGTAATATTGAAATATAGTGAAAATTAAGGTGAAGAAGATGGGTTTGGAATTCAAGTTTGGGGAATAGGGTTTCACAGGAAAAGGGAAGAAGAAAGAAGAAGGTGAAATGAAAGAAGTTGGGTGAATAATTTGATATAAATTGAAGGACAATTTTGTCATTTTATCAATTAAAACATTTTAAATTTTTTTATTCCATTTTAATGATAGTCAAAGGCTATTTGTCCAAAATCATTGTCCAAGTGGGTCATCTGGCCAAATTCCCCTATTTAAAACCCCTGTCCAGTTAATCGACGCACAAACAAATACATCTTATCCTTACTCTTTCTCTTTCTCTTTCTCTCTCCCCTCGCCCCCCTTCCTCCCCCCAACCCAAAGATTCTCACCTGTTTTAATTTCTTAAGCTAACACATATGTATTTGTAGGTATAAAGAGATGGATCCTTCTGTGAGTGGCCGAGATGCGGAACCCGTGTATCGCGACAAAGTAACAGGTCAGAAAGACTTTTCGTTATGTCATTATTTCTTGCCTTACACATACAGCATATACTCACTCCATCTGTTGTAGGAGAACGCATGTCAAAGGACGAGTTCTTAAAATCTCAGAAAAAAGTGCAGAAGAAAGAAGAGAAGCCCAAGGTGCTATAACTGTTTATTTTTTATAACGGTCAAAATTTATATTTATAGGTATCCGTATTACCCACATGGTTTTAAGTCCACGACATAGTTATAACGTTACATATGTTCCACATTTGGTATGGAATAAGTCATGAGCCACTTCCAAGTTGTTTGAGCTTGAGCTCAACTCAATCTTTGTCAAGATTGAGCCAGCTCCCGTACTTGATAGAGTCAACCTAAAGAGTTGGCTAGCTCGCTTGCTTTTAACTTGAACTTTGATTTTTATGCTTAGGCACTGAGCATGAGAATTCCCCAAGTATTTGGCTTAGCTTGTTTGCAGCCCTAGTTGTAGTATTTAATTAATTTTTAGCAATATCAAGAAAGCTGTGGTGGTGATCATAGATTGGAGTATTTTGATTATATATAATAGACAAAGAATGCTGTAATAGTAAAATTTAATTTACTGATGACATGAAAGTAGATAACGTTATTTTTTTTCTCTCACTGAAAACCATGTATGGCACTTCGTCTCACAAGGCTATTAATATACTTTTTGATCAATAAAAACACATTCCCAAACTGTATAAGCTTCTTGCAAAGCATACAGTTTTCTGGATGTGGATGATACATACTATTATTTAAGGTAATCAAGTAATTAATAACTATTGAAACCAAGAAATCATCCTTACTCCTCAGAAATCAGACTATTAAGTTTCTTTTTATGTATTTTAAACTAATAAACCTTGGTTCCAAGAAATCATATCTTCTGCTGAGACATTTTTGGCAAAAGAAAAGGCCCTTTTGATTGATATCTTTTTTACAAAGTGGGTGACCTATGCTAGGGTCTCCCTCCTTGTCCTACCTAGCCTTCACTGATGTGACCCAACAGGGATTTTAAGTGAAAATATGATTTTCGGGAGATAGAGAATGTTATTTAATTTGTGTGTTAAAAAATCTATGGCCACTTGTTAATTTAGATGTTTTTATTAGATTCTGGTATCTGTTGGTCTTTGTTTTCTTTTATGAAATAAAAATGGTTGTTATTGCTTCTTCATCTATAATCTTTGCAATGACCTGTACATTGCTTTAATGTCTGATTTGATTCTACTTTAGTCTATTTTATCCACTATTAAAGACAACATCCATTGTTTGCATTGGCATGGTAGGACACAATATATTACTTGTCTTATGTGATACTAGAGATTAACTGTCTTATTCATTCAGGAAATAAAGCTGGAATGGGGTAAAGGGTTAGCTCAAAAGCGGGAAGCTGAAGCAAGACTGCAAGAATTAGAAGCTGAGAAGGATAAATTGTTTGCACGGAACAGGTAATAAAGATTCAATAATGGTGTCTTGTAATAGCAATAGATTTGAAACTGGACTTGGCATTGGAACGTTTTCATGCTCCCTTTTCAGCATGATTGCTTAATTGTTTTTTTAATTAGGCTGCACGGCAAATTTGTCATTGACGTACTTGTCACAAACAATGCTTGTTTACTAGTGTTTCTAAGTGCTTATAAGTTGTGAGTCCCATAAAACGTGTTTATAATAAGTGGGAAGCTGTGGGTCGTATAAAATGTATGTATAAAAATTATGTTTGATGAGCTTAAATTTAATCTTAAGCTTTATCAAACATGCTCTTAATTGTACTTAGTATATGTGACAATCATTTGTTTAAAGCTATCAACTCTGTGGATGTGATTATGATTTTTTGTCCTCTTTTTCCCTGGTAAATTTTAGGTGCCTAGTGTTCTATTAAAGTGGTTTGTAATTGTCCTCTGACTTTGTACCAACTTTGAATTTGCAGGGATGATCCTGAACTTGATAAAATGCTGAAGGAAAGAGTCAGATGGGGTGACCCTATGGCACATTTGGTCAAAGTAGGTTATCTTTCGTTGTAGCCATTAAGAATTGTTCAAGGCACTAACTAGTTGAGCTGAGATTGATCAGCTGTACATTTTTTTCCTTACACTTGTATCCTTTTCTCTCTTCCACATATTTTGTGTATGATGTTTCAGAAAAAGCAATTGGACCCAGTTCTTCCGGATTTAGGTGAGGGTGCAAAAATGAAAGAATCAGGATTCATAATTCCCCAGGAAATCCCAAGTCACAGATGGATAAGAAGAGGACTGGATGCTGCTTCAAACCGTTATGGGATTAAACCTGGGAGACACTGGGATGGTATTGACCGCAGTAACGGTAAACTCACTTTCCTTCGCTTGTTGCATAATTATATCCTTTCTATGCAACCGATTGTTTTCTGTATTCTGGCTGCTGCTGTTTTTTAAGTCCAGTGCCTGCTATATGTCCGGAGCTTCTTTTGCTTAGTTTAAAAGTCTACTTACAAGTAAATAAACAAGTTTTAATATAATTTTTTTTAAAATATTGATCAAATGAATATAAGTTACTCATTTTTACTTCAAGGTAACTGTTACTTTCTAAATAAGTGACCTTTTTTGACTTAAAAGTAAGAAAATGTAATCTATCCAAAAATCTTTGAAGAAAGCAACTTTTTATTTATCATTAAGCTTAGCCAAACCACAAGCATGCTTTTATGACCAGAAAAAGCATGGGAGACAATTAAGAGTACCATTAGAATAATACATAGATCATAGATGTGCTACTATTACGTTATGGCATGTATACGAAAAATAAATTTGTAATTTTGACAGATATTCAATAAATTTCTTTTGTTTCTGGTTATTTTCCTGCATCTTATAGTTACTGAGAAGGAACTGTTCAAAAGGATGAATGATAAAATAGCTACAGAGAGGGACGCATATTTGTGGTCTGTCTCTGACACGTGAGCTGCGTCAGTGTAGATGGATACTCTACAGAGGACTGGAAAATTTCGATGCTATAAGATCCGTGAGTCCCTTGTAAATTACTCTAAACACGCATGTTTTCAACTCCGTATTTCAAATGACATTGATTTTAAGTTGTGTAGCAGTTGGTGGATTATGGAGTATAATCTTTCTTTTTTATTATGTTCTTTCTATATTCAGTTAAAGAGTGTATTATCGATTTATAGGACGTTTTTGGGTCCCCTGATATCTTTGCTTCGATTGGATTGTTTTAGGCTCGTCAGAAGAAACTATGATGATGATGTATATCTTGGATGGGGACGTCTTTGTCACTTCGAGAGGCTTCCTTTTTCTACATTCGGTTGCTCTTGCTTGCCGACGAGCCTACTCTTGAATTCCCACCTCTTCCACTCTTCTGGATGCTGGATATTGCATCTATACAGGGAGTAAAACCTTGTGGAGAAACTACAATTTTGAATTCGTTTTGACACATTTATTGCATTGGCATAGAACAAAAAGGGAAATTAAAGGACTTAAGGGTATTAGAACCGGAGAAAATAATAAAAGCTAAAATAGGCCAATCTAATCCCTTCCAAAAATTTCATTTCTCCTCATATCTAATGAAGTACAGAGAATTTCAGCGAGCTCATAATGGTAGTTTGCTAGCTTGATTTTAAAGGATGACTGGTTATATTCTATTTTACATTATTGTTATGAAAGTAGTGCTCCATTCTTAGAATTTCTTATAAAGTTTCTTTCACTTCTTTAAGTGTAAGCTTCAGTTATGTCATATTGCACTTCATTATTCATTTATCTGAGTAGAACGCCAAACATTTGAAGATGGATTTTCTTGAGGGTAGGCCCTTTTGTAACACGATCTTTATTACATTACATGTCCTTGATAATCCAGCATCAGTCTTCCAATGGGAAATAATTTATTTTTCAACCACAAATGATTTTACTGTTCTCTTTGATTATGTGGCGAAGTGCGTAGTTTTGCACTTTATCATACGCATATGATTTCATATCTCTGATTCATCCGTGTTCAGTTGAACGCTCTAGTTATGTACTAATAAAGGTTAATTGAGGTAAAATGATCAAGCGGTGCAACCCAATTCCTATGGAGATCATTTGCGCCGAGTACGTAGATGACTGGTAATTTCTATCTATTTATGCATTCACTATGATATTTATTGGATATTGGTTCTCGTTTTTATTCTTACGTTGTAGAGCAAGATTCTTTCGAACATATAGTGGACACATGGAAGGTTCGACTTCGAATGCAACAATGACAAACCCGTGATCAGTTTGAGGTACGAGGAGGATGAGGATCCACCAGTCTTTCTTTGAATTGGCAGCGACTTCTACACAGTACCATACCATTTCACTAAAGCCTGTTTGGTGAGAATTAAAATTAAATTCTTAGGAGATTAGATATCGATAAAAGTTGATAAAATTTGTTGTTAAAAAGTTATGAATCTCATGAAATTTATAGTTAAAATTAATTGTTGATTTTGATTTAAAATAAAATCTGAATTTTAACCCCCACTCGTGCACCTACGAATATGTACAGTGTATGGTTCGATCGGACCATTTGTGAGCCCAAAAATCTGTCTTTTGTTGGATTCATATTCTTTGCCCATAGCATACTGTGACATGGAGACGTTCAATACGCAAAAATAATTCAACTGCAAGACTTGCAGAATATGCTTGTAACACCGAGGCATCCCTCGTGAAGACAGATTTCTATGGAGGAAGAACCATGCCCAGTTGACATGGATTAGACGATTTGCATCAAACATAATTCCAAAACCTTTACACCAACCACTAAAATGGAAAAAACAAGAAATATATGGCACAACTTGTGCTCGATTGTCATATCACAACAGAATAGAGAGAACCACGAAACTGTAAAAGAAACATATTCGTTACATCTAGTATCAGCATCTATGTTGTAAAGAATCTGAAACTAAAATAGTAGTGCCTGCTCAAGTAAAAATAATCTAAAACCCAAGGTTAAAGAACTGACTTTCAACTCTAATAAGGAGACATTTTATCTAATGAAGGATAAAAGCTGAATCATGTGGTTACAATCTTGATCTGGATAAAGATGTTATTTGCCTCCTTCCAAGGAGCTTGACTTACAGTACAAGACTAGTGTTGATGTCGAAACTGATCCAAATTTTCTGAGGTGCCAATCTCAGTTCTCTAATCTGTTTTATTTTCTTTCTTTGCAGGTGGCTTTTGGTATAAGATTATTTGACTTAGGATTGTACCATTAGTCATGATTCCAATCACAGAGCCCAGAATGACTACAAAAATAGAAATCAAGTATATTTAACCAAAGACGAAAAATAGTTAACAAACAGCAGCAAATGAAATAATATAAATTATTAGTGTCAAGCACAAATGATTATCGATAAGAATAAACTGAAACCTTCATTGAAGAACATGCATGATGACAAAATAATTGAGTTTCATGGTAATACAAGAAAATTGTTTAGCCATGGCTAAAGAGTTCATTAGTTTTTGGCAATTCTGTATTTAGCGGATTAAAGCTCCTTTAGTTCTATCTCCTGCGTTCTCCTCCAAAGCGCATACAACTAGAGAAGGCAGACCCTAAAACCCACATGTTTTGTTCTAGTTTTGAAGGATCTAATCAATTTAGATGTTCCAATAGATCTAGCAATGAACGGAATGAAGGGACAAAAGCTGTTCCAATAGATCTAGCAATGAACGGAATGAAGGGACAAAAGCAGATCCACGTAACCGACTCCAAATTTGTCGAGAATAAAGTTGAGTTTTTTGTTGTTGCCGTTTTAAAAGCAGACCCTAATTGCTAGCATTGGTTTCACACACTTCGGTTTTACTTCCACTGTGTCAGGCCTTTCTTCGTGTTTAGCATCCCATAATTTAATCCATATTTCAATTCAGTCTACTTTGCATAGAAGATGACTTGCAATACAAAATACTACTAGATAATATGAGATGGAAGTTTTCAAGATTCTCATCTGAGATATTTTAAAGCACAGAAGTGTAGGATATTTATCAGCCCGAAATCAATGTCCAATGCATATATTTTTCATATTTGTAGAGGATTTGATAAGACCGAAAAGTACTAAAGATGAAAGAGAATTTCAAATCTGATAGTCTTGTCCTGTCCAGTATTGTGCGCCAAACCCTTTATCACATGTTTGGTGTGGTGTAGTAGATAGAATTCGATAGCATAATGAACAAGATTTTAGTTTCTTTTTTTCTTTCTTAGTTCTATCCAATGCAATCAAATCCTCCTTCCTTAAATATGCCATTACCACGATGCTTAAGATGACATTTTTTCAGAATGCTTGAAAATACTAATAAAGAAAAATGTAATATTACCACTCATTGGTGCCTTTTCCTGCATGCTGGTGAAAACTCTCACTGCCAAAAAAATAAAACGTAAGCATCTAGACATCTATCAATCCACAGAATCCGCCTTTATCGATGCGATAATCAACATAAAATTACCCATGGAACCTCCAAAATTCATTAAGGAGGTCAACAAGCTAAGCTCCCCCGTGCTTTTGTTCTGCTCAAACAATGATAGACATTTGTTAACATAAAAGGGAACATTAGGGCTGGGCTCCCCAACCTTTTAGCAAGTGATATTGGCTTCTTAACCTTCAAAATTGAGGTTTTGACTCACCAACCTAATCAAACATGTGAGATTGGATCCTTACATGATAGAAACCGTTAGTTTGACCGTTAAAAAGTCAAAATTTCTTTAAAATGACTGTTATGCCCTTGTTATTAATTAAATATTAAAAGAATAAAAAAACTTTAAAGAAAAATCTGACAAACCTAAAAGGTAAAAGGAAAATTCATTTAGTTTCTTCACACACCTCTCTCTCTCAAATCTATACACACATATACATACAGTTATCAACGCTAGCCACCAAACCGTCGGGAAATCTTCTGGCAGCAAGGCACCAAGTAAGCAGTTTACAACCGAGGCAATAAAATCCTCACCGCAACCGGAGGAGGCTTATCTTAGGGTACCGCTATTTCCATCCACGCTTTTTATAATTACATCCACTTTCAGAAATAAAATTTTACTATATTTTAAATCATATATAAATTTACTTAAATGGATATAAGTAATAATGAGCAGCTTGTGTAATATAAGGGAGCGTTCCTCCTACAAAGCTTTTTGACAAGTGAATTTGACAAATAATCTCAACCCTAAATTTAAATCAATTTAAAGGTCTAGATTCATTTTCTTGAAATCTTCTAAAAATAAAAAAATTGGCACCCCCCATCCCCCATCTAAATCTGTCCAATGGGCCTCACTGTAGATTAGTTCCTCCTCCTCCGCCACCATCCCTCCTTGTCACTCTCGTCATATTCGGTTGATCTCATGACTTATTTAATCAATTCACCTCTTTGAATCACTTGAACACCAGCGAGAGCTCTTCCAATAGTCATAATTCGTTGATCCATAATAAAAGTAGTAATACTAACGAAATATTATTCAGAATTGTGAGATCTAAATCGGATGAACACTGTAATTGTTGCAAGAGTTTGGAATTTCCCATAATTAATTTGAGTAGTTCATTGACATTCCAAGGAATGGGGAGTTTGACGAGTGTTTGGAGAGTAATAAGCTGAATACTAGTGGGGTGTGTATGATTAAAAAAATCTGGATAATGGGAAAGAGTTTTTGGCCTTGACACTGGTAAATCATTGCTCTTAGATGTTGCAAGCCCCTGTCTTGTATTTGGATTATTTGAGGTACTCTATAGTTCAACAAAGTTTGTCATATTATAGACCCATGTGATATTATTGGACATGAATCCAAAACACAGAAGAAAATAATTGTCAGCATGTCAGCCCTTCACTACGTTTCTTTTGTTTATATTAATTTATAGACATTAACAACCCATGTTCTACCAAAAAAATCTGAAAAAAAAGGGTATGTTAAAGCATGTGATTCTTTGGATTGATCAGGAGATCGAAATCATATTGCTGCCGCTTAACTTCTTCCATGTCTATTTCTGATATATGCGAATTGTGCATTTGTAAAGTTTAGATGATGGTAGGCATCATTTATCACGAGAAATTTAAGTAAAAATTGTTTATATTTTGATATTGGCCACCTACAATGAATATATAAAATTCAAGTGGATATATAGTATTTAACTGAATGAATTAATAAAGGCAAGATTGGAAATAACGTGGATGTAAATATTTTTTTTTTTAAATTTTAAAATTTTATTAGGGATGAACTTAGAGTGGGATGTGCTTATAAAAAGCGTGGATGGAAATAACGCTACCCTTATCTTATTTGGTGGGACTTTTGGTGGATACAAATCTGTGGCCAACTAACTATTATGCCTAAGGATATTCAGTTGGCTAGAAGGATTAAGGGCAAAAGTGCTTAGATAATATCTAGAGTTAGGGTTAAAGGTTGCAGATGGAGATGGAAGTGTGATAAATATTTGATTTTGGGCTTCGAATTCAAATTTGTAATCGCATATGTAAACTATTTGTGGGAATGTAATGCTTAATGGAATTGTGTTAAAAAAAAAAAGAAAAAAGAAAAAAGAAAAAAAAAACACACACACTTCTTCCCTATCCATTCTTATCCGATCGTTGTAATCGCCATTGCCACCAAGAGTAAAGAATTCATCGCAGGTGGTGGGAAAGATGGGCTAGCGACAATGTTGGTGGTTGGGCAGATGAGGTGGAAGACTGTATTTTTTTTCTTGTCGATTTTTTATTTTTATTTTTAATAGATTTTTGTTTTGATTTTTTTCTTTAAATATTTAGTTTTGAGTAAGGGCATAATAGTCATTTTAGAGAAATTTTGAATTTTTCAAATGTCAAAAAAATAGTTCCTGTCATGTGAGGATCTGACCTCTCAATGGTTAAAATCTCACTTTTAAAGATAAGGGCGATAATGCCACACTAAACCCTCCTTTGACAACCATTATTTCCAAATTTTTTATTCTCATACTCATTTTTAGCCACACATTTACACAATAAAATATTTTACACGTAAACCTAAAACTTTTTATTAATTTTTAATCACTCTCTCAAAAAAGCCACTACTCAAACCTCCATTTTCTTAAAATAATGGCCATCAAGCAAGCCTCGAAAGGTTGGAGAGCTCAACCCATTTCACATAAATAAATATATTCCCCCCTTACCTTAAAAGAGAGGATCCCAATATTACTATTCATCTTGAGGCAGAGATTTCACACTAAATTAGTTCTCTACTGTAGCTAAACTCGTTCAGCATTAAATTCACTGAAATCCCCCTTTAATTATTTATAATGTTAATCCATAGAAATGAAATGAATGTGATTGCTTTATTGTTATTGATTGTTGACTTACACAACTCATGTACTGTAGCTGCTCGCTTTCATTCAATTATATCCCTGCTACTATAAAAGAGTGAATGTGGCGAGCACTATTCATTCAGGACATATTTTGTGTTTCCCATTTCACCCTTGAATATCCCATAATATTCCACTTCACTCCTAAAATCACTACTAATGGTCTTCCTACATGTGTGTGGTGTTGCTGTTTTGTCTGATTTCAACTTTTACGACCAAAAATAAATGTTGACGTCATACCACATAATATATATATATATATATATATTTTAAGAAAATGATGTAAATTATATTGAGAAAATTGTTGCGAAAAAATAATAAGCATTAATAAAATAATTGATTTTTTTTAAAAGACGAGATGCTTTTTTTTAACACACATTTGATGTACGTTTAACTATTTTTTATACTCATTTAGATCATTCGATGTGTCTATGACATAGTTCTCAAAATGAGTTTCGAGAGAATATAAAAGATTTATGGATTCGACTACCGTACAATCGTCGATGAATTTATAAAATTTGCTTGTTATCGAAATTCTTAATTTTTTAAATAATGTCTCTTTTGACATTAAAAAAATTTAAAAGTTCATTAGAACATTTTCTAAATGACGTCAAAAATTATTTTAGCGAAAAAATAATAAACATTAATAAAATAATTGATTTTTTTAAGAAAAAACAAGTTATACGCATTTTTTAATACACACGTTTAATGTACGTTTAACTGTTCTCGATTCATTTAGATCATTTGATGTGTCTATGATATAGTTCTCGAAACGAATTTCTAGAGAATATAGAAGATCTATGGTAGATTTTTATAAAAAACTAAATAATCACCCAGTGCCCAAAAAAAAAAAAAATAGAGCAACTCCGTGAATCACGGAGCAATTTTGCCGCAATAATTTTTTTCTTTGGTGATTGATATGTTTTTTATACAAATCTATTTTACCCTTATAACGTGACACGAAGTATGTTAAATCATGTATATTGTTTATTTCCTAAAATCAGTTGCGATAAATCAAAGTAAAACTTAGCACAACGTTGAAAAAATTTAATACTCATTCGAAAAGATGTTGATTAATTTATTTGACAATATTGAATATTTTACATGTATATAAATTTTAGAGGATTAAATTCAAATATATCAAAATTGGGTGATTAAATAAAAATCTCAACCCCATTCAAGTGATTAAATATTATATTGTGGCTCAGTTTGTGTTTAGCTCCATTAATTTTTTTTTCCCATTTTTCTCTCTTTTATTTTCAATAGCAGAATCTTCCATAAAATAATATTATACGTAAATAAAAAAAATCATTAAATCGATTGGATATTGAACAATAAAAAAAGATTCGATTAATTACACGATTTAATTATATTGAATATAGTTATCATTAAATACGTTATTTATATGTAAAATAACCACTCAAACTAAAATAATGTTTAATATATAAATTATGAGTTCCAATAATTTGGGTTTTTAATTCATGCATCAAGGGAACATTTATCCAATCCCAGAAAATACATTTCAATAATAGCAACACAAAATTGAGGCCAACTAATTTTTCATCTTGATATTTTAACATCTGAAAATATTTTGTATATAAAAGAAATTCGATCATTTTTAGAATTTTTTTCCTTATTGTTACTTTTTCCTCTCGATCAATTAAGTTTTTAAATAATCTAATAAAATTTTTGACGTCATTTAGAAAATTTCCTAATAAAATTTTAATTTTTTTTTAATGTCAAAAGTGTGTCATATATGAAGATTTCATTTCCATTTATCATTTTAAACAATTAATCAAATTTGTAAATTTATTGAGAGAACTGAATAGATATTTTGACACGTTAATAATTTAATATTACCTAAAAAATGACATAGTCCGTGCATTGCACAGTTGGACAATTAGTAACAAGATAATTTATTTGTAGCTTCTAATCCAAGATTATGAAATAGATAGAATATGCATCCTTAGAAAATATATTAGTATTTCAACTATGAGCAATAGTTGAAAACAACAGTTCATTAATTACAAGATGGACGCCAGCCATGGAATTATATAGTAACAGTGCTAATTGTCATGGACTTATTTTAGTTACACCCAAACTTACAAGTACTGTACGGCTTTCACATTTCATAATTCCCGTCCCCGCAAGAAAACGTTAAATCAGCCTTTCTAACACCCACGTTAATTCAACCTTTGGAGTTAAATTATATGATAACTTTGAATAGAGAATGAAATTATAAGGAAAGTAACAAGACAATAAGTTTGGGAAAAATCTCCTTTGTATAAATGAGAGAAACTTTACAATCTCTCTAAATATATTTTCACTTCACTCCTTATGATTTACAAATGAACTACCTCTATTTATAGGCAAACTCTTGAATAACAAGTTGGAATTAATATTCAGGATTAACTTGATCCAAAGGTCATCAATGGTTGCAAGTTGCATGCCACCTTTATGCAAGTTGCAACTAACCTCATTTGAGCAAGTGGTAATCAAACTGGATTTTGCTTCTTTGCAAGTAGTCATGTTACAAGGTACATATCCCTATCCAACTCTATACTAGTTGGCATATCCTTTTCAATTCTAGTGACAAATCTCAACAGCTCATGTGCAAGTGGGCATGTCCCTATTATAGTAGCCAATTTGAACATTGGTTCTTCCATCAAACTTTGTTGTAGTCAAGTTGGACATTGCTTTTTCATGCAAGTTGTACAAGTTGTTGTCCACTTGCATTCAAAACAATCGGCTGCAGTCCACGATATTATCTTCCTCAAACTATGGTTTTTAACTTAGAAAAGACCTCATTTTCGTAACTGCACAGCTACCTACATCCTCCAGCCTATGTCCTGCCTGTATAGTCTGCCTCCATTTCCTACCCGCGTCCCTTGCCGCAAGCAATTTCGTCTTATAAAAGTGCCTTGTCTGCACTGTTTTGCGATCGCTGTCGAGACGAATTGATCGCAACCTGGGAGTTGTGGAGTGCTAAGCTGCATGGTGCTAGCACGGTTTGGGAGTTATGAAACTAAGCCTGAAACAAGTGGTATCACAATGTCACGCTCAAACTTATCATGACTCGAGGTTTGACATGATGTAAGAATGTCATGACACAAAGAAGAGAAAATGAAGTAGACCATGGCAAATTAAGTCTAAGTTTTGGCGTTATATTGGGATGAGGGAGTTGCCTAATTTGATAGGAGAGTGACTTACCTCCTCATGGTTATAGCCAATACATCCAAGTTGCAACTGGAAAAATCAAGTTGTGAAGTGGTATGGTACGGCTTGACGTAACTCCCTATGATAGGAAATGCAGGAACATAGGCAAGGAAGAATATGCAAGCATTGCGATAGGGGATGCAACCAATAATGTTGGCAAACTGTGTAGGCAACAAATGCAAACAGGCTGTACGTTATATTGGGATGAGGGAGTTGCCTAATTTGATAGGAGAGTGACTTACCTCCTCATGGTTATAGCCAATACATCCAAGTTGCGACTGGAAAAATCAAGTTGTGAAGTGGTATGGTACGGCTTGACGTAACTCCCTATGATAGGAAATGCAGGAACATAGGCAGGAAGAATATGCAAGCATTGCGATAGGGGATGCAACCAATAATGTTGGCAAACTGTGTAGGCAACAAATGCAAACAGGCTGTGCAAACAAGACGCAGACTAGAAAAATGCCAACAAGGGGCGTTGGGATGGAATTTAGATTTTTCTAAGGTGAAAACACTTTATACAGTAGACTGTGGCCGATTGTTTTAGACGCAAATAGGCGCCAACTTATACACTTGCTCAAGGAAGCCAAGTTAGAATGACTACTACAAGCTTGAAGGAAAAAAGCAAAGTCCAACTTGGCCACTATGATAAGGACAGGTCCACTTGCATATGAATTGTAGAGATTATCCACTTGCATTTAAAGTGTCATTGCCAACTAGCATATGGTTGGAAAGTAAAATGCAACTTGCACATTAGCTTGCATAAAGTTGAAAACGGACACGATGTAGATGCATGACAACTTGCACAATAATGTAGAGAATTGCCACTTACAAGGTAGCAAATTCCAATTTAGCTACCGTGTGGTCAAAGGAGGTAGATGGCAAATTACAACCAATGGTGCCCACTGGCAATCAATGGTGGCCCTCGACTCAAGTAAATCTTAGCCATAATACTAACTTGCTTGTCAAGAGTTCGCCTATAAATAGAGGGGTTGGTCATTTGTAAATCCTACAAATGAAACGGATGAATCAAATGGAGAGAAACACGGGGAGTTGAGAGAAAATTCCCATGGATGGAATAGAAACAAAGTAATATAATTCTCTCATCCATGAATGGAGTGATGGAGAGATAGAGTGATATCTTGTAAAGAGAAAATACTTAAGAGGTTGTAATTTGTAAATAGTTTTCTCTTCCATTTATACAAAGAAGTTTTAAAGATGAAATGGATGGATCAAATGGAGAGAAACACGGGGAGTTGAGAGAAAATTCCCATTGATGGAATGGAAACAAAGTAATATAATTCTCTCATCCATGAATGGAGTGATGGGGAGAGAGAGTGATATCTTGTTGAGAAAAAATACTTAAGAGGTTGTAATTTGTAAATAGTTTTCTTTTCCATTTATACAAAGAAGTTTTACCAAATCTATGTGCTCCTTTACTTATAATTTCCTATCTACCTTCTCTACTCAAAGTCAATATAATTTAGCCTCATAAGTTAAATTTTCATGAGAGTTTAACGCTGACTTAACGTTATCTCGTGCGAACAAGAGTTGTAGAGCGTTCAGACTATATGGTGCTAGTGTAGTTTGAGAGTGACGAAACTAAGCCCGTGGCATAATGCTTACTTACAGTACTGTACATGGAACGATATAGAAATAAATGTGTGCTAAATTTGAAACTGGTTTTGTCCGTTTCATAAAATTCATTACTTATATTGGGAAGAACTGCTAATCTCTACAAATTGTTTGGCAGTTGGATGACAAGCACAAGTTGTTCTATTAACTGAGAGCATGTTTTGCAAAGCTTTAAAGTACATCAACTTACAGGTAATTAATTTTTTTTTTCTAAACACATTTGGAAATATTACATTTTTCTTATAAGTGAATAAAAAAGTTTGGGTCAAAAATAAATTACTGATTTCCAACTTTGACCCAAAAAAGTTTATTTATACTATGAATTCTAATTTACTCAAGTAAAATAATTAAGTTTTTCAAGGTTAGGCAAAAATGCAATGAGTGTCTTTAGGTATGGAACTCTTCAGTTTACTCACAAGTAAACTTAGGGACATGGGCATCAATGAGGAAAAAATAGAAAGAAAGGAGTAGTGAATTCATAGAAGACATTTTAGAGAAACGAGTTTGCTGATTTGAGTCTTGTCACACTAAACCAATTTCAGTACTCCAGAAAAGAAGATCCAGAATTCATTATTATAATCACCCATCTTAGAGGATAAGCAAAGTTCGTAAGTTTTGGTTTGACATCCAAAAATAAATGCAGGGAAAGACAACCTTGGTTTCTTCAGATGGTAGCACATTAAGCCATTATCATTTCACCAACGATACCGAGCATTTAAGATCCTGAATATTGTATATAATTGAGTACTGGCCTTGCAGTTCAACATTTCGAAAGTTTAAAGAAGAGAGAAAAGTAACACGAGCGTAAATTTAATATTATAAGATTTTTTCTCATAGGTAATCCTATTTTCAATTATCCAATGAGTTGAAACAATATGATCCTTTTAAAGGCAACGAATTCACTTGATTTCTATATTTTACTAGGCTTTTCTTGCATTTTCCTAACATTACTAAAAAACTTCCTCCTTTTCATTCCTCAGAAATTATAATGGAAAACTAACGGTGTTGTGAAGACTGGGAACGAGGTTAAGTTCAGGTGCTTTCATTACTGGAATAAAGAAAGTAAAAGACAAATACAGAAATTTACAAGTACCATGAAGTAAACACTCACCTTAAAGTTTTCCCAAATCTGTGGAACCCTTGCAAAGAAAAAAATTGCATGTTGTGATGCCTGACAAAATTTGCTCCACAGTCAAGCCTCACAAAGAAACATCAGGTTTAATATAAGACAGAAAAAATAACGTGTTCCCAGGAGGAGTCCGAGGAATACAAAATCGAAGGATAAGGAGAAAGTAAGGAACAATAGGCATAGATTTGGAGCATGTTTGGCTAGGGTTTAAATAAGTAAATTTGAAATAAAGAAATTTTTAAGGATACAATTGAAAATAACTCAGTCACTTTGCCCCTGATAGGCCCAATTTTTAAAAACTCATTTTCCTCGAATTCATTTTCAACCACATATTTTATAAACCTCGAAATTTTTTCAATTTTTCAACCATATATTTTATCAACTTTTATCAAAATCTACTAAAGATCTGATTTTTAGCCAAACCAAATCGGAGTTTATTTTCATAGTATGGTAATTACTTCCAAAATAAACAACTATTTTTACTAAAAACTTAGAAAAAAATTAACATATTAAAAAATATATGGGAACAAAAAAGTTTCATAAAAGCAAATTTTACCTTCTTTAAGCTTAGCCAAATATATTCTAAAAGTGATAATAGCACAATAATCAGGAATGACTCACATATAAAGCTTCAAAAAGAAGGGGATCGATTTGACCGGCTAAGATAGTAGGTGCTACAGCACAGTATCTATTGTTAAATTAGTAAGGAAATGCATAATTTATTTGTAATTCCACAGAGGATGCTTCACAAGTATACCAAAAAGACAGATAAATTCACATATACACAAATCTTTATAATATTATAATCTATACACAGGAAATAATGGATACATTAATGCCCTGATCCAGGTCTTGGTTCCCATTGGTTGAGAAAAATAGTAGATAATTGCAACTAGAATTATGGCTGCAAAAAAAAAGAAAAACACAAAGTTAGAACGATTACAATTTTCAGATGAATTTATTGAAGCAAATTAACAAACCTCTTTGGCTAAGCTTAAAAGGATTACTAAGTCCCTATTTGTTTCTCATTCTTTCCCCCATTAAAAAAATATGATCGTTATCCATCACATCAAGCCACCAAATTTGAATTTCTATCTCTTATGTGGGGCCCATAACGGCTGTATTTTTCATTTTCATTTTTACAAAAATGGAAAACAAATGCCCTCAAGTAAATTTACTAAAAAGTAGAAAATACATTACTTTTGTCTATAGGTGCAAGTTGGAAAAAAGTTACTTATTTGACACTAAGGTGAGAGCTATATTCAAAATAAGTTAATTAAACTGACGAAACAAACTTTTACTCTCTTTTTTTAAGCTTAAACGGCATGCTCTATCAGCATTTGTACTATTGATGACAACAAACTGCTTAAAGTAATGGTAGTGATGACCCAGGAATGAAAATAAAGAATATGATTTTAAAAATTCCTTTAATTCTGCTAACTGAAGTTGGAGAAACCGGATTGAAGTCATTGAGATCAGACTTTTCTTTAATCTTTTTTTCTCTCTGTCCTCTTTTGTTCCCTTCTTGTCCAAGGTGGGGAAAAAAAATCCCAGATCCAGTGTACATACCTTGGACCAGAAGGAATGCCAACTCCCCATATGCTGAAAATGGAAGCCCTTTGTGTAGACAGTATGCCAAAGCAATGGTATAACCAACAACCTCAAGTTCGAAGGCCACAACGCTTAGTCCCCTGATGCTCTTGTGTTTCAAAATTATCTGTATCTGGAAAAAAAAAAAAAGAAAAAAAAAAAGGAGAGAGAATAAGCAAATGAATTAAATGGCAGTTACAAGCCGGATCACAAGTTCAAACAAAATGATTACAATGCCATAGGCTGTTGATTTTATTATCGGAGCAATTTCTACCATTTTAGGCAGCCATTAGATTTTGATCTATAGGGTGTGTTTGTCACCCATTATTTGGGAAGAATGTATTATGGAATAGTGATTGATGATGAAATGCATGATTAGAAAAGAAAGAAAAGTTTTTTATTTACGTGTAATATTATTTGAATGAAGAATATGTAGTAGAAAATGAGTACTGTAAAAAAAAAAAAAAAAAAAATTGGAATGAATGAGAGAAAATGGATAACAAACAAGGGCTTAATTTGTTATCATTTTATCTCTTTCCTTTCCTTTAAGTGTGATAAGATCTCAAACATAATCATGTCAACAGTTCTGAGGTTTGAATCTGAGTAACATAAAATGCCAAGATTTAGCTATTAACTGGACAAAGAACAGGCAGCACCTAAAAATGGGCATTATCAGAAAAGTGACATTGTATCATGTTATGAAAAGGAAAAATATCCCAAGACACTACTGAAGTCCCAATAATTAGTTCCATAAGTAAAAATTAAAGAAATATGATTAAAATCAAGTTTCAATTATTGAGTTATTTTTCACCCAACTGAATATAAATATAGAATCAACAACTGAAAAGCTAAATCAGGTTCAATCCCTTTTCATATACGAAATAGGGTATTATGAATATGATAATAATCCTGTGAATTGTTACATTGGGTTACTCCAAGATTTACACTTTGAATCACGTACCAAACATGTAAATCACTGAAAGAAAAAATAATTATACCATTAACTACAAAACCCAGGTCAAATATCCAAACATTCTTAATTTTTCACCAAAAATAGCATCAAAAGTCGTTGAAATATAACTCTGATCATGAAAAAACACCCAAAACAGTAGAAAGGTAATTTTTTTTATAAACGATTAATGAGGAAAATATTTGCCTGAGGGAGTTTCACAGTGGTAGAGGCCGCGACGATGCAGTAACCAAGAAGCTTTGATATCAGCGGAAGCAAACAGTCCTTTTCTGGGAATTCACCTCTGCTTAGTGATCCCAACGCACAGCTAAAATCCATTCCAAGAAACTTCAGCTCAACCATTCTGGTCGATGTAGAAATTTACCAAATCAATACAAAAGTTATTGCAGTATATTTGTATTCTTCAGCGCGACTTCCGTGACTCGAGTCAATTCGATTTGATCACCAAAGAGCCGAGGAAAAGATGAGGGAATTGTACTGTGAGTCCCTCGGGTTTCACTGATACAACTGTCCCATCCTCTCCTTTTTATCTAGTTATCATACCTAACTTATACCCTTTACCAGCACACATTTTTCAGCTATTATGTATGCAAACATTGTCGACTATCATCAACGGTGCTTCAATCATCAATCGTCAACTAAGAAGCATTTATTCTATCTTTATTTTTTTTTAGCAAAAGAATAAAAAGAAAACTTCAAATATCAACGAATTATTAAAAAATAAAAAAGTGAAGAAAAAATAAATATTTTGTTAGTGCGATCAGCTACGAAAGCGTCATCGATAATTGGAAATGAGTGAGTCGGTGATCGCTAATGGAATTGTTATTCAGTAATTTTGTTGATAATAAATATTACTTTCTTTAATCTAAAATCAGAAATTATTTGAGCTTTGGAATAATTATATTTTCTAATTACCATTTCTAAAATTTTCATTCATGAAAGTTGAATCAATGCATATAATGATTTTACATACTTCAGACTTATTCAGATCGCACAACTTTATACTTAGTATCACCATTGTCATTTAATTTGATTTTATTTTATTATGGTTATCCAATTTCATATAACGTTTCACCATAACCACTCAAAATCACACAATGTTTTACTGTGATCATCTAACTTCTTTTCACAATTTTCACTAATTTTAAAAGTGGTAAAATAATAACTTTGCATTATATATATAAAATAAGTTAAAAAAATAAAATAAAAAATTATTTGATAAAAATAGAGTAAAATAAAAACTTATTTAAAAAATTACTTAAAAAATAAAATAACTTATTTTAAAATGAGTTACTTAAAAAATAAAATAAAAACTTGTTTTTTAAAAAAATTACTTAGAAAAATAATATAAAACAAAAACCTATTTTTTTTTAAAAATGTTTTTAAATAAAAAATTTATTTTTGTTTTTTGAAATTTATTTTTATGTATAGTGAAAATTACCATTTTATCCCTTTTAAAATTGATGAAAATGGATTAGAAGAAGTTGAGTGGCTACGGTGACACAAAATCAAATTGGGTGGGCATTGTAACACGAAATATAGAGTTGGGTTGTTATGGTGAAACAAAATTAAATTAGGTCACCATGAGACACTAAGTATAAAGTTTGATGACCATTGATGGATTTACCCCATTTATATTCAATTCAAATCTACTTTAGACAACGTACTTGAGTTCAATACTCATTAATCATGTTGACTTCAAAATCTAGCAAGACATGTGGTTAATAGATCCTAACTCCACTTTCGTCTCTATAAAACGTTAGGTATACGTGGCCATATCTCCAATGAATAGGGAGGCAACCTCGATAACGCTTAAATCAATCAACAATGGAAGACAATTTTGGGTGTGCGAAAGACAATGGATGTGAGCATTAGGATCCAGATTGAAGAGAAAAATACCAAGTAATATACTATAGATATATAAGATTACATTACCTTTGAAAGATATTAAAAGTGTTAACTTTTATAATAAGAGTTTGTTTGATTGTAAGGATGAAATTTGGATGGAAAGAAAACGAATTTCAGGGAATTGAATTGCCTAGAACTTGTTTTTCTGAGAATTGTCAATTAAATATGTTTGATTTGGATAATTTTTCACTTGAAAAATGTTAAAATTTTAGATCTTTTGACGTTTGTTTTGTTTTTTTCATGAAAATTGTCAATTAAAGAGATAAAAATTTTTACAATCGTTGATAGATTTTGTTCCCATTGCTAAAAATTTTTATTTTTTATTTTTTTTAAAAAGAAGAAGTTGGAAATCATTTTCTCACCAAAACCAAAGGAATTGGGTTTCCTTAAAAAGCTAGAAAAGAAGGTCACGTGGGGTGGGGAGTGGAAAACCAATTCCACGGAATTTGTTTGCATTCAAACACTAAATTTTGGATAGATTTCCATTTCCCATGGAAAAAATGATTATCAAACATGGCCCAAGAGAAGTAAGTGGTGTATGATAGATCAATAAGGCTACTTGGATAGGGTCAAATACAGAGTAGAGAACACGGATTTGAAAAATCTGATGTGGCATAAATTTTTTTTTGGAGGAAAGCTTTGCATAGCGGACCAGAATTGGACCTTACTCTCGTTTTTATGATGAAAAAATCTCATTTCCCCAATTAATCCTACTCTTTTGCACCGTAGAAAAAATCACCTTATTCTTAATCCTTCTGGGAAAAAAAATCAACCTGAAATAAATTCGATCTAGTTTTCATTGGTGAAGAAATTATTTTGCCGTAAATTGAAATCAAGAAAACCACTATTAAACCAAGTGCTGTGTTGTTCAATCAACGACAATCTTTCAGATCGACTGATTTTCTGACCATCTTGGGAATCCTGGCAAATGTACGTGAGCCGCACTGTAGTTGCAAGTTGCAGTGAAGGTTTCTTGGAAGATTTTTCAAAATGGGATTTTGTTTCTTGATTGCTAATTTGTGTAACTTATGTTGAAATTTGCTGGTGAGTCCCTTCCATACTTCGCTTCGAGTTGGAGGCAATAAACTATACGATTACAAGAAAGCCATTACATATAGAGGGGATGGAGGTTACGATCTAAGTGTTTCAAATATTATAGGCAAATGACAATGTCATAGTCGCAGCCTAGCTTCGCTTCAAGAAACATAATGCTGTAAGAAATTCCCAATTGCAATACTGGCCAACTATGCTAAAATCCCATCAACAATATCATGTTAAATTTTTAAGCACAATTCAATTCTACCTGAAAAAACCATATAGCTTTATTGTAAAGAATTTGCAAGTTGAATTAAAACAATTGCAAAGCAACATTATGCCATAGAAAAGATCTTTCCCATTCAAATTTCTAAACACTCACATAAAGGCATACCTAAAAGATTCACACAATACACAGATGAGAATTAAAGCAAATCCCCAACCGGATAAGCTAATCAAGAGTAATTTTTAAAAATCAATTGTACAAAATCACAACTAAAACGTAAGCACATTAATGTATCAAGACACCGTATCAACGCACAAAGCCTCAATGGAAGCTAGAACTGATGAAATGTAGAAAAAGACTAATATCAGCAAAGAAATGGAAATCGATTGACTTAAATGTGTTTATGCATTTCGCTGGAAGCAAGGTTGTGACAAGACGCCAATGGAGTCTCTGGCGCAAGTTATTGCGCAATGCTTACGAGGTCCGACTATTTGAGGACGACCAATGATGGAAGGAACATGTATTTTGGACTTTCAATTTTTGGGGTTTCAAATGTAGGGAGAGACTTTTTTTGACCCATTTCCCCCAACTCTACTCACATGGCTTGCTGAGATGGTTGATTTGCTATGACACCATGTTCGGCGAAGGTGTGGCACGACGACGGAGATGGAAGGTTTAGATATTGAGCGTTCTTTCGATTCCATTTTGGGAGAGAGAAGCTATGATGTTGTGGTTTTTGTTAGCTCTTTTTTTTTTCTTTATATTTATTTTTGACAAATCAGATTTTTTAAATGCATGTTTTCTACCCTGTATTTGTCCCTATCCAAGTAGCCTTATTAATGTTAGATTACTAACGTGTGGCATCAACTCAACTCTTGAAGATCAAACTCGACATGTGTCAATCTCCACTATCCTAGGTTTGTGGTAATCTTAAATTAATTGAAAAGTAGTTATCATATGTCCTATGCCCGTCATCTAAAAAATAGGATAAAAAGATTACTGATCGTAGTACTACAAGCTGTCAAATTCATCCAAAGTATCTTTGTAAGGAAGATCTTTTAACTGAAGTGATGTTTGTTGAAGGTTGAAAATGCCTTATTAAACAAAAATCTGACCTTCGAAAATATACTGCAGTAACTTGCGATGACTTACCTCGAACATCACGCTTTTGATGAGGTGGTCACTTCAAATGAGGTCCCTTAATCACTTCATCCTTTTGCTTAATTGCTTCAGTTGAGCTTGAAAGGACAAGGTGATAGGGAGTGTGGGTCTTGAGTGGCTTCTTTCTCTTTCTTAGTTGGCTGCTACTTGGTCTGCCTCGTTGGGTGAGACATAAAAATAGTCCTACAAGTTTAGGTATGAATATTTATATAAAGGATGGACTTTGATCGGAGTTAATGAAATAAATCGATGGACAATGCTAAAAGAGAGCTTACAAACTACCCTCAAAATATAAAGGTGGCTACGAATAGATAAGTACTGAATCTTTAGAACCTAAGGACTTATAGATGGCCTTAATTTGAGGTGAGGCGATTTGGAGAGTTGTGTCACTTATCCAAAATCTATTTGTGTGATTGGATAGGCGATGAAGTTATAGTTGTTGTAATTTGTTATAAATATCATAGTAACAAAAATGGACGACCATTAGCAAAACTCATTTTGAGGTGACACGAGGTTATAGTGAGTGGTATAAGTATGATAGTCCCCCAAGTCTAGACATAAATTTTAAACAAAGTGTGGACTTTGATTATTGACAAAGCCCGTGTGTTAAGATAGAGAGTACTTAGTGATACTCATTTTGTAGGGATGGAGCCTCATCACATAGGCGAAATGTAGTTGCAAAGGCGAAGTCTTATTTTCCGTGGACGAAGCCTCTTCACATGGGGTGAAATGCAATTACAGAAGTGGAGTCCCATTTTGCAAGGACGAAGGCAAGTGCCATTTTGTAGGGGTGAAGCCTCTTCACATGGGCGAAGCATAGTTGCAAAGGTGAAGTTAGGATAAAGCTTCTTCACTCGGACGAAGCATAGTTGCAGAGGCAAAGTCCCATATGTGAGTTGTGGATACCCAAAAGCTAATACACTGAAGTGAAGGGCCTCTGCACCTAATTTGAAATGATATGTTATGATTATTACATGTTTCAAGTGACAAAAAGTGAGGCATCACATTTTCATTGCACGCTTCGCCCCTGGTAATTAGTGATAATGATAGGGCTACAGCCTTCTGAGGTCAGTGAGGAGCAGTGACTTGTTTCTACCCTTCGCTCAAATTTGAAATGGTGCATTTAAATTTCAACTGTTCGAATGCATTCAACATACTTAGAAAGATGGACATAGTACGAAATTTGCTAATTTAATATTAGGAAAGGATTCCATTCTTGGAGTGATGGGTTTGGTATCTTATACCATTGGTGAAACCTTTATAGTTCAGTGAGCAAGAGGCTTTCATCTACCTAACTCATGAAAAGTTCTAAAGTGGCATTGCAAGATGAATAAAAGATTCGAGCTCTATGGTATCAACGTGAGAGTGATATACAATGAAAAGTAAGAGAGATTAGAAGACTTATTCATATTTGTCTAGTATTGTATATATTTATTTGCACTCGCAATTATTCAAGTAATATTTCAATTCATCTTATACATATAGACTCTATTTGGGTTCTATTATTTCAAATTATAATGAAATGAATAGTAATTTTTTAAAGAATGTGTGGTTAAAAATAAAAGAAATTTTTTTGAGTTTACGTGAGATATTATTTAAGGAGGACTTTTTCGTTAGATAAAACATTGATAATACCTCATCAAAGAGGTCATCTAGTTATGGAGTTGCACTCAAATAGTCGATAAATTCATTCGCTAGGAGGTTCTGGACATAAGTGCGTTGGATAGACATTTCCATTTCAGAATCCTCTTCATCTTGTTGGTAGTGCTGTCTTTGAATTTCTTTATAGGCAGGCTGGACTTAATGAAACTCGACCAAAGGGAGAAGGTTAAATAACTTGACCTACGGGAGAGAGGATGGATAGAATGAAGTATAGATGAAAAACATCATTTAAAACTAATAATAGTTGATCTTAACAATTGGCGGCTTATGGAAAATAAGAGGAATTAAAATTAGACAATGATATTGATGAACAGTCGTCCATCACGACAATTGTAACTCTCTTTGATGATTGCTTACAATATCACTGACAATATTGTCTTTGATCATGTTGAGATGGTATGTTGGTGATTATTTAAGGTTTTGTTGTCTGTATTTTCACTCGAAAGAGTGATATATTTGACTTAGTTATCATTTACTTCATCAATTTTATAAAATGTTTCCGAAAAAAAAAAGAAAAAAAATTGGTTATAATTTGTAAGTTGATTGAGCTGCCTGAAAATAAAATTACATTTACAAGAGAATGCTTAAGAAAAAAGATTTTTACTTTGAAATAAGGCTGTAAGCAAAAATCGCAAAATCGAATTGAAACCTCATTTTAGAAATCGTCAGTTCGATACCACGTGGACCTGATCAACGAAATGATTTTGACTCAAACCAAATCAGTCAAAATTGTTTGGTTTAGATTTGAAAATTTTAATTATAGTTTAAAACCAAATTAGACCGGCGAAAAAAATATATAAAAAAAATGAAAAATGAATTTTTTTGAAACTTCGTCCACATGTAAAATTTAATAATTTTGTCATTTATGGGTATTTTTGTCAATTTCTAATTTTCTAATACAGATATATTATTATTATTATTATTATTATTATTATTATTATTATTATTATTATTATTATTATTATCCAATAACCATAATATATATCTAATAATTTTGATACTAATATGATCTATCAAAAGCCTTTTTTCCTTTTCAGAATTTAGATGAATTCCAGTCGACACTCAAAACAGTCTTGAGCCACTGGTACCACACACTTCTTTTTCAGATTTTTCACACCTCTTTAAAGTTGAATTGAAATTCATTATACCAAATGACAGACAAAGAGATCATAAACCTTCGGTGATAATATTTGCTACGAATAAAGTTTAAGATCAATAATTTTTTGGAGCAAATTAAGGTAAGAATCTGAAATTAAATACGTTTCGTAATATCATACAAATGTAAACTTGTGTAATTGTTATATTTAAATATTATAAACAATTGCTTTGTTATTATTGTTGGTTATTTTCTTTGTTTAATCAGTATCCTTTTTTTCAGATATGATAATCATGAGGTCTTGTTGGATATCATTATGGTTTTTGGACCTTATATCTAATTTAGTAAACTTGTATTGTAACGTTATTATATCTTCATTAGCCTGAAAAAGGTGAACAAAAATGGAAAAAAAATCATGTTTTAGTTTATTGTAATTTCACTTTGATTTAGTTGTTATTTAAATTTATAGTAGATATATTTAGCCTCTGTTTGAGCCATATTTTTCATATCATCATAATGAGAAAATTGAATGTTGGAGAGGAAGCTGGGTCCCACACATGAAACAGCAAGTCAACAAAGGTGGCTGGACTTGTGGAATAACAATCCAAATTTTCATTTTTTTTTGTTTCCAAAATTTGGTTTAAAGAGGGGCTTAGATTTGTTTAAATTCATTGCTAGTAAGATATCAATATATATTGAATTCAATAAATTAATGACATAAAAGTAGACGAGTATAAAGACATATGGTGAAATCAGATCAAACCGTTAGGTTTAGGTTTGAGTTTTTTTCAAACCGTTCAAAATGGTTTGATTTAGGTTTGAATTTTTTCCAAATCGGCTTAAACGATTTGGTTTAAAAATCTATTAAAAATCGATAAAATCAGACCGTTAATACTCCAACTTTGAAATCATTTTATACCTTTGGCATGTGTTTTGGAAGGTATTTATTGTGCAAAGTATCTCATAAAACTAAACTCCGATAATAATTATCTATAAAATTAACAAAAACAAAAAAATAAACTCCAGATAAGGGACTATTTTTAAAACAGGAACATGGATGCCGGAGCAGCCGGCGATTCCACCGCCACCTCCGCTGTGTCACAGCTAACCCACACCATGTGGCAGCGGTACCAGTATTTCTTGGACAAATCGACGCCGCTGGTGCTGTACCGTTGGATCTTCCTGTTGGTGATTGCATTCATCTACGCCGTGCGTATGTACGTTGTTCAGGGGTACTATATCGTCACTTACGGGTTGGGAATCTACATCCTCCAGCTGTTGATTGCGTTCCTTTCGCCCCAGATAGACCCCGAGATCCAAGAGGTGATCGACGGGCCCGGCCTTCCGACCCGAGGCTCCGACGAGTTCCGGCCCTTCGTCCGCCGCCTCCCTGAGTTTAAGTTCTGGTGAGATTCTTAATTCCTTGATCTATAAATTCTTATATTCCACATTGAGTGAAGGGTGAAAGTTAGCCCCGATTTTGATTCTACTAAAAATCGTTTTTTAAGTAGGTTTTGATAGAATTTATGAAATGTGTGTTTGAAAAATTGATAAAAATGTGGGTCGTTCAAAATGAGTTTTGGGGGGGGG